CCTGCCATTCTGGCTGGGACAGCCATGTGGCCCTGGGCCAGAAGGCCCAGGTGGGGCTTCTGGCTGGGGGGTGGGGCTGGGCAGGCCCTGCTGTTGTGGGAGCCTGCCAGGCTTCCCCTGGGTCCTACTGCCCTTGGTTCCTGTCATTTTTGATAGGAACCAAGGGCAGATGAATATTAATTTTTTTAAGTTTTTAGGGGCCCTGCGGGCTGGATAGAATGGCCTCGCAGGCTGGATCTGGCCCACGGTCCTTATTTTGCCCACCTCTGATATAGAAGTTGGTGTATAAAAGTGCTGTTTATGGAGTACCTGTGCTAAAACTTGCAGCAGTTTCAGAAAAGGTAAAATGCAGCTAAGATGAACTAAGTCTATGGGTACCCATAATAATTTGCCTATATTCAAGTTACTACAGGGAAGTTTATTTCAAAGTCATTCCTTTCAAATTTGCCCGTCACTTCTATGTGCTCAAGGAGAGCAAGGTCTGAAAGTAAGGAGCAGGGAGGAGGGACTGTTGTGGGAGCAGAGGGCACATGGCCCCCCCAGATTTATTTTCCCTGTTCTAGTAGTGAGAGGGGGACAAGTTCAAGGCAAAGCATTTGTAAATTTTCCAGATGTCGAATCTAATTGTAGGGTACTTGTCTTATTCAGTGTCATCTTATATTCAAGTAAATACAGAGTTATCTATTCATAGAGTTAACTAGGGTATGGCATTTGAGACTTAAGAGTTTTCACTAGAACAAAGGAGTAGAAGAATTGCTACTAGAACAAACCAGCATTAAGAAAGCATATACTGCTGTGGTCGTGTGTTTTTAATTTCTTTAAGCACTACACTACTCTACTTGAAAATGCTTGATATACTTGCTATATTTCTGTGTTTCAGAAATTCAGAAGTTAATTGAGATTTCTCCCCTCCAGGTTTGAATACCTATTTAATTTTGACAATACTTTTGAAATTCATGATGATATAGAGGTATTAAAACGAATGGGAATGGCTTGTGGGTTAGAATCTGGAAGCTGTTCAGCAGAAGACCTAAAAATTGCAAAGAGTTTGGTTCCTAAAGCTCTGGAACCATATGTGACAGGTTAGTTACCCTTTATAACATACTTCTGCTATTTTATCTTTTTATATAGGACTTGAGAGTGAACTTGTTCAACTAAAACTTGACTCTGCAAAAAGTTCTATTAGTTCATTTTTTTCAAGTGCATTACCTAAACCGATAACATTTTAGTAGGGGAGCATGAAATTTGTTTCACTTGCAAAAATGAATCTCTGGTAACTGTATATTAGTACTTTTTCTTGTTACATAAGAAAGTTTAGTCTTAAGTTATAGCTTTTCTTTCTTTCGTCTTTTGGAATTTGATACTCTATCTTGCATATAGGAATTGAATCTCTGAGTCCAAATACTGTTCTTAAGAGTTAAAAGATGCTTCTGGGCTGTGATCAGATGGAATGGTAGTTCTTGATTATGCTTGCTCACTTTCATGTTAAGTTGTTGAAGTGTGTACTCTTTCTATTTTGCAGAAATGGCTCAGGGATCCATCAGCAGTGTATATGTCACATCTTCATCAGGCTCCGCTTCAAATGGCACAAGATTTTCTGCTAGGTGAGACTAATTTCATAAATTAGCTTTAGATCCATTTAAACTACAGCAATTTAACCAGTACCATGATGTATGCAATCTCTAGTTCTACCTTGGCAATGGCAGATTTGATGTGTAACTTTTTTTTCTTCAAAGGTAATTCTAGGGGACTATTCTATTATAATTAGTAGGGCTGTCAAACTATTAAAAAATTAATTGCATGACTAAAAAAGTCGCAATTAATCGCTATTTAAATTGCACAGCTAAAAACTCAAATTACGTGCAGAAATCTCAAAATTCTGCAGGTACTCTGTATGGTTGCAGGGTGGGTGTGGGGCGAAATTTGTGAAGGTGTGGGGGGCTGTGGCTATATATGTAGGATCTGGAGCCTGGGGAAGAGGGTTCCCTGCAGGGGGGGAGGGTCTGGAGCCTGGGGGTGGGGACCCCCACATGCTCTGGCAGGATGCCCAATGTAAACAGGGTCTCTGGAGAATTGCCCTGGGCCTGCAGTGTGCCCCTGCCCGAGTGCACTCCCAGCAGTGGTGGCCTCAACCTGCCCTTACTGGGGGCAGCTGCTCTGGCCCCAGCCTGGACCTGAACTTCCCCACTTCCTTGCTGAGCAGGAGCACAGACAGCAAAGGGAGAGTAGTGGTGGCGGCTTCTCCCAGGTCGGCAGCAGTGGTGCTGGGCTTGGGTTCCATCAGCGCTGGGCAGGGGCCAGGTGTGTGGGGTAGCATGGGGTGGGGGCTGTGGAAGGTGGCTCCACAGGAATCCTGCCCCCACCTGCCAGCAGCAACTGCCTCTGTGGGGTTGCTGTTGCCACCGCTCCCCAGGGGCCCAGAGGCAGCTTGTGCCAGAGCTCCCAGCACAGCTGGGAGCTACCTTGTGCTTACGCCCAAGCTGCCTTGTGGCTTGTCTGCACTGCCACCACTGCCCTGCTGGGCAGCCCAGAGGTAGTATTGACAGTGGGAGAGAGAAGCTGCAGGGCAGCCTGGGCACAGACTTCAAAACCACGTCTGTGATTAATGCATAAAAAATTAATGTGTTTTAATTGGTTCTTGCATTAATCACATCTATTAACACTAATTAATTAAAAGATAATTAGTGATGTTTCTTACTATTTATTGCCCATTTGTCACTTTTAGGAGTAATTGAACTATCACATGATGTCATATAGGCAATTTCCCCTTTTAATATTGTAAAGAAATTAATCATGGCTGATATATAGTTTGTTGTATAGGAATTTATGCAGTTGGTTGTGGTCATTGGAAAAATCCATCACAAAACAGTGTGAAATATAGAGTCGGATTACTTTGGAGTAGGCTTTAGTTTAGAATTTAAATTAGCAATAAAGTGAAAGTCCTTAATCTAAAGATAACATTTGGGCAAGAATCTCACTCCTCTATGGTTCCGTAGCTTATGGCAGTGGGAGTTTAAATTTCTTTGGTCCTTAACAACAGTAGCAGATGGGACTATTAATTATATCCCTTGTATGGCACGGTAGCCCTGTACTGTTCCTCATGGTAATTCCTGTTTTTACTAATTTCTCTTTCTGTCTTTTCCTTACTGTATTTGGTTTAACTCATAAACTGGTATTGGCTTAGTTTTTGCTTTCAGACACCTATGTAAGCTCTGTAATTACTCTTACAACAGTGTAATACAGCTAGCAGCGTTAAAAAAGACAAGTAGAAAAAATTTAATTTAGCCAGCTCATGAGTTAGCTACAAGAATCCTTTTTGCCAGTTTGTCTTTAGAAGCATACCCTTTACCTCTTTCAGTTACTGTGATTGACAAACTGACTGGTCAAATAATATCAAAATAATTGATTGGTCAGTTGGCAGCCCATTATTTGACTTCAGTCAAAATTTGTCAAATGTTTCAGGAAGCCGAGAATGCCTTTGTGTATGTGGCAGCCTACTTTTTTAGAGCATAATTGTTTCATCTGTTAGCAAGAGTAGGAGGAATGTATGTCTTGTCCCTGAAGTCCTGCAGGAGTCAGGACTCATAAACTATCCTTCATGTTGTCCATTTAGGAGCAGGCACTGCCCCTGTCCTTCTGCTCTTTCCCGAGCTATTCCAGCCTTATTTTCTTTCTGCCCCATTAAGCGTACGGGGCTGCAAGAGCTTAAGTGAGTCTCTCCACTTTTAATTAATGCTTAAAGTATTTGACTGGTCAGTTGACCAAGTATTTTTTGGCTAGTTGAATAACCAACTCTATCAGTAACACATAACCATGCAGTCATTGGAACAAGGAGAGGGGAGAGCAAGTTCCAGAGTCTTTTGACTTTTCCAAGCCTCAGCCATTCCTTTTTCTGCTAGGACTACTCTGAGGTGTTGTAGCTGGACACATGGCTAGCTTGGCACTACCAGGCTCAAATCAGTCCTTGAACTAACTCCCAGGTCATGATTGCTTGGCCCTTCCTTACAGCACATGACAATAATGCCCTGGGTTCTTCAGCCCTCCCAAGGCTCAGTAGCAAATATAACCAATCCAGTATAAGCTTCAAGTCCTGGGTTAATCCTCACCACAGAGCACAACATAAAGTACAAACAGCCCATAATGAACATCCAGCAGGCTGAGTTAGTTCTCACCCTTTATTCACCTTTTTCTCAGCCAGGGATGGCAAAGATGCAGCCCAAGAGCTGAATCCAGGCTGCACTGCTGCATGCAGCATGGTCCTGAACTGGCTACAGCACATCGCAGACCAGCCAGGATGGGCTCTGTATGTGGTGGATATGATGAGAGTAGGGATGGGGGTGCGATCTAGCCCATGGACCGCCCTCTTGTCACTCCTGTTCTGCAGGGTCAGGTGTGTTTGACAGCCCTGTTTTAAGCTATTTGCTTTGTAGGGTAAAAGTCCTGCAATGGTAAGATTATCTTTAAACAGGGCAAAGTATAATGTGCAATTCTTTTTCTCTGAAGTTATCGTTCTGGTATCTTTCTCTCACCCATCCACCCACCTTCTCTCAGTTTGGAAAGGGAACCTTTTGCAGATGCAGGATATAGCATCATATTTTTTAAGCATTACATTTCTGAAGTTATGTTTCAGGTAGAGGGTGTTTCTTTGTGGTGTGCTTTTTTTGTGTGTTCAAGTCCAGATTTAACTGGCAAAGGAAGCAATTAAGCTCAGGGTGGTAAAATACTACCTCTACAGGGCATGTTGTGTGAAAGAGCGTGGGGTGCTCTCTCCATTCTGAGTAGGGAACTGAAGTTCAGGATTACAAATGCTGCCAAAATATCTTTATAGAATCAGAATTACAAGATAAGTACATTTCCCCCCACTTTACCTTCAACTTTTAACCAAGTTTTGTGTAGTAATAGTTGCAATTAGAGTGTAAAGAAACCCTTGAACATCAAGGGCATTGAAATTTTAAGTATTTTCTGGCCAGAGGCCAATATAAAGATGAAGGTCACAGAACATCATCCTCGGAGAAGCCTGACAACCTTACTGCTTCTGGCTGAAGGAAAGATTTGCCTTGTACTTTTGATATGGATGTTGTTCCTGCAGTCTACTTTGTCACCCCTTAACTTTCTCTCTCCTTGACTTGTTAGATGTCAGCTGAATTTGCAGAATCCCTTCAACCCCAGCTAATGAAAGAAAAGCAGTTTCTATATCCTAATGTGTGCTGGGAGAATGTGGGTCACTCTCTGTATTAATCTTCCCTGCTGCTTTTAATAATCTTTTGTATCTGTTACTCACAATTTCCCAGAAGTATTCTTCAGCTTCTAATATTGGTTTCTAGTCATGCTGACAGATACAATATTAATCTGAAACCCACTGGGCTTTAAGGCCTGACTTTAAGTATTTCTGACTTGCCAACCTTTTGCAACCTACCATAGCGAGCATAACTCTCTACCCCAAAATGTTCCCAGGAATACACTGACCGTTTAAGGTCCATCTCTCTGGGTGTGGGGGGAAGCACCATTAGGGAGGCATTTAATTCTTACATGGGACTCTCATGTTCACATACTTATCAGTTTCTCAGTTAATTTATTTCACGAATAAACTTAATTTTTGGTATTAGTATAGTTTAAAAGGCGTAAATCGGCAACTACATGGCTCATTTTAGTAGATTAAAATATTTCTAGGTATAGACTCCATGCCAGACTTATTTGACAGATTTATATCCTCATCTCTTTATTTGCAAGCTTTAAGAGATTGAGTTTTCTTCTTTTTCTTTTTTTTCAATACCCTGTTGGCCCTAAAATAGTAGCTCTGTATTGCTTTTTTTTTTAACTTTGCCTCTACAGGTGTATCCCTTTTTTGAGGCACCTGTTATAAATATTCCAAATTCTGACATTTCAGCATCCTCCATTTTTCCTAGGTTTGAAACAAATAGACAATCTTGCAATTTTTTTAGTTTTGATAAGCTTTTTTTGGAACCTTCTAGTTTGACCAAATAAAAAAGCACCCCAAATAGAGTATAAATATGGATGTCCAAATGAATGTCAACTGTGTGAAACTAATCACACAGTACTATTTTAAAACCACTGAATCTGACAATCTGTTCAAAGGGATGGTGCAAACTTACGGTGAGTTCTTTATTGCTTTTCATCCATTCTTACGACATTTATAAATTATACATGCTTGCATAGTTGCACCCACTCACTATTTTTCTTTCAGAGATTATTAGAAAATATTACTTCACTTGCTAGCTTGTCAGTTCTCACTTGCTATTTTCTTTCTAGATTTGCTAATTAAACTACTTCAAATATGTTTTATAAAGAGTCTTCACAACATACCAGTACAGCAGATGAAGTCATTAGATTAAAATGCTTTAAACAGTGTTAAGAGTAGGGACGGATTCTAGGCATCTCCCCTTCCTTTCCTTGAGGAAGTGCCATTGTTGCTGGGCTATGAAGTTATGCTCACTCCTGTGCTTGCTCTCTCATCTTATCTACACAGTGGCACATTTTCAGTTGTGAGGAGTGGTTTCATCTAAGGGTTAGCCTAGAGCGGGGGTGTCCAACCTTTTTGAATGTGGGGCCGGATCACAAACTTTTTATCACCCAGTGGGCTGGTGAGCCATATTCACAGACCTCACAGGAAGTGGTATCACATCAGGAAGTGATGTCACATGACCTTTGACACCAATGAGGTTGCAGGAAGTGACAATGAAATGGGTCTGGAAATGTGGTTTAAAATCCAAAATAAAAACAATATAAAAAGCAACAAAGAAATAATACCAAACACTTGACTAAAATAAACACTTTCACTTGTACTCACTTCTCAGTGAATGAAAGAAGCATAATGCAAGTCGACAGATCAAATGTGGAAAAGATATCA